AATACAGTGTTTTGCAATCACAACAACACAGGCCCTTATATGAATACATATATTTACTATTTTAACTTCAGTTATAAAAGTATTCATTAAATTAAGGATATCTTCTCCTATTCAAAACCAAAATAATTAGTGTGGCTTGAGTTAATATTGAAATGAGATTCTTTAATGATTAAAAGACGAAGCACCTTTGTCCTGCAGTCTGACATTTTAAACAAGCCTGGTCCATGAACTAGGTTTTATTACATTTTTATCCTCTTACCTTTATAATTGCTTCAAGTTGTCTCACTGTTGTTAGAGTGAGTTGAGAGGGCAAAATGCAATGCCAAAATGATGTAAATGAAAGTCTGGATTAATGACAAATGATGTCAAAACCTGAGAATGTGAATGCAAATTGTAGTTAGACTAAAACAAAGTTAAATGCCAAATAGCATATCAAGCTAACACCACATTTAAAAGATTTTATGGGGCTCAGCTGGCATGGCTCATTGATTGAGCGTCAACCTATGAACCAGAAGGTCAGGGTTGGATTCCTGGTCAGGGCACATGCCCGGGTTGCAGGCTCGATCCCCAGCATGGGGTGTGCAGGAGGCAGCCGATCAATTATTTTCTCTCATCATTGATGTTTCTAGCTCTCTCTCCCTGTCCATTCCTCTCTAAAATCAGTTTAAAAAAATAAAAAAGATTTTATTGGGTGAAAAAGATGAGTTGTGTGCCATAAAATCATTTTTCAGTTCTCTTTACACTGGACCTTTTTAGCCAAATTGATCATAACACTAATTAAAGTGAGATGTGGCTGTCAGGCTGCCAGCACTGCGCCCAGTGAAGGTCCATTTGCAAGGCTCCTGAAGGAAGGTCTCTGCACCCTCCCTGTGCAAAGCCCAGAAAGCATCTTCCAACCATCATTTAAGCCCTGCAGGGCACTGGAGGCCACCTGTTCACAGGGGACAGGTTCTGCAAGTTAGAAAGTGTCTCAGGAGTCCTTACACCCCACTCCCTCCCTTTAGAGGGATGGAAAACGGGGCCCTCAAAGCCCAGGCAATGTGTGTAAGGCTATATAGCAAAGGAGTGGGGGAGCTGAACAAGGAAGCCTGTTCTGTTCTGGGCCTTTCTTCCCTTTGCCCCTGGGGCTACTCTGCCTCTGCCTTCCTCCCTCCCCCCACTCCCCTGGCCCTTTCTGGAACCTCTGAGCCCATTCCCTTCCTCCCAGTAGTTGAAGCTTAACATCCCCTGCCTGCCTGGCTTGGGCTCTGTGCAGATGCTGAGGGGACAACTCACCTGGAGCCAAGGGACCCTCCGTGCTGACTTGCCTCAAGTCGCGCTGCCCTCTGCCCTGGGCCTTTTCTCTGTCATCATGATTCACACCTTAAAGCACCTCAGGCCCTCAGAGGACCGTGGAGGAAGACTTCTCTTTGGCCTGGAAGTCCTCTGTTCACAGCAAGGCCGATTCTGGATGTTTGCTGTGCTTTTATTAAAGCCGTATTTTAGTAATGACTGCTTTTGATCCTAACTGAATAAATGTTCCATAGGAATGAATCAGAACCACATACGGAAACAACACAGAGGCAGTGACCCCAGAACACGAGGCCATCCTGGCTGGTACCCTGAGAGCTGAAACTGTCACCTCCAGTACTGCTTTGGCCTCCTCACCCTCACTGACCCTCCTCTTGGGGGGTAGTCCCCGGTGTGCAGAAGGGGGCACACTGCCTGCATAGTTCACTTTCTCCCCCAGCCACGCCGTGCCTGCAAGATTAAAGCACAGCCATTGCCTAAAGTGTTCATTCGACCTAGTTGGTCAGAACCTCTAAGAGCTGATGCCTTTAACTTGGCACTTCACAGTCACCCTTTTGCCTGAGGCTGGTCTCCAGCACTGATTCACTGATTCACTGATTCTCTGCTCATCTGCTTTGTAGCCATTGTCTAATATTGCCTCTCACTCACCTTTTAATCATGCATATCTTCATGGAGCTTTGCTTGCATATGTTCTGTAAGACTAGATAATTTTTAAAATAAATAAATAGGCTATCACCAAACCTATATGTTGACCCATGTGATAATCAATTCATTTTAATTAGGGCATTCCAGATGTCATGGCCTGGGCAGGTAGTGATGAGGACCATTTTACAGGTCTCATCTCTCCATGGGGTTGATAAATATTCCTTTTTCCATTATAGTTGTTTCAATGCATAAAATCCCTATGTAGCATTGAAACAACAACTATTGAAACTACAAAAATGACATAGCTCCCCAGTGACTATATTAGGATGGTGCCCCCTTGTCTGCCACACATAGGCCTAATTTCCCTCTCAGTTTTCCTTATAACAGCGAAAGGTTGACACCACTCTCCTTTCAATGGCGATTGAATCAAACTCATTCTGCATTGAACACATGGCAGAAACATGGGAGTTTCATTTAAAAACCCAAAATACGTGATAGCATCACTCAGGCGACTGGCCTCCAAAGCTACCAGGGTCAGGGTTGGGAGGGAGAGGGAAGTGATAGGTGAGGTCTTCCCATGTCATTTATTTAATCAAAAACTAGAACTTCCAGCTTTCCGACTCCTGTTTCTGGGTACAACGGCATGTCTCCTGAAGATTATTGTCAGGGAAAGAGTTTAAGAAGTGCTGTCCAGAGATGGTGTTGTGTAATGTTCCAACCAAAGCACACTAGTTAATCACAAGTGAAGCTCTCTTGAGCTTATCCAGCTGCTAGTTTACAGGGATGTAAACTGTCGAACTAACAAGAGAATAGGATGGTCCCTGAACATATGTTGCCCAAAAACCTATATTTCATCTGTCAAAACCTTCCCTCAATCTCTTTGAAATTATTTGTGTAACATCTTTCCTCCTCTTAAGCTATAACTTCTGTAAGAAGAGACCTTATCTGCCACAGCTATTCCCACTAGGTCTCTAGACAGCGGTTCTCAACCTTCTGGCCCTTTAAATACAGTTCCTCATGTTGTGACCCAACCATAAAATTATTTTCGTTGCTACTGCATAACTGTAATGTTGCTACTGTTATGAATCATAATGTAAATATCTGATATGCAGGATGGTCTTAGGAGACCCCTGTGAAAGGGTCGTTCGACCACCAAGGGGTTCGCGACCCACAGGTTGAGAACCGCTGGTCTAGAACAAAGCCTAACATAGAGTAGGCATTTGATGAATGAATAAGAAATGGACAGTTGGATGAGTGGTTGGATAGATGGATGGGTGGATGGATGCAATTGAATATATTCATTTTCTAAAGAAAACTTATTAGGAATAGCATGTTAACATGTGGAATGATAGAGAAATTGCCCTACTTCCAATTTAGTTGAAGAAAATCTCAAGTGATTTTTAAGACGTCTCTTAAAGGTTGATGACTGCCCTTTATTCAGTTAACTTTCATTTCTGACATTTTCTTCTGTCTTCTTTCATTCAAGATTTTATTAATTGTTTTATTGTTTGTTGTTCTTATTGATATAACGTCCTAGAATCTGTGTGGCAATGGGCTGTTTATAAATTTTACCAAGAGAAACTCCACCATTGTCCATATTTACCCAAGAAGATACCATTGAGACACAAAAAGTAGAATTCTAAAACATTTTAAATTCTTAACCTTGGCTCTCCTTGCATCATCCTATGTGTAGATATATAGTTGATTCAAGCTATATGGGATTCATTTATATGTAGATTTTTCAATTGACCTGCTCAGTTCAATTGACTCACTAAATTAAATTGAAACAGTTCAATTGACCTGAGCAATTCAAGCCCAGTTGTTCAAGGGTCAACTGGTGGTTGGAAAGTCATGTATTCAAAGGGCCAGCTTAAGTTATATACAGATTTTCAACTTCACAGATGTTGGGCAACCAACCCCCACCCCAAATATTTATATATATTCCTTCCAGTTTGAACAATGTCCTGAAACTTTCTTGCCATTGAGCAGTCCAAAGATCAATTCCTGTTGTGATAACAACTTTTATTAAATGATAAAATGGGAGTGACTTTTTAGTGTATTTGCTTCCAGACCCTGGATCTATCTTCCGTATTTTAAATAGAGTGTTACACGGAAACATTGACCAGATGGGTGTCAAGTATTCAGCCCAGTTTTCCATGAGTTGAGTTGGACAATGAACTAACACAAACCTTCAGGAGAGAGCTCCTGGGGCTTTGGAGAGACTGGGAGGGGATGTAGGACCTTTATATGTGAGATAAAAGCTGTTTCCTTTCACCTCCTCTCTGACTCTCACCCACCTCCCAAGCCACCTCTGCCTTGAAGACATTGCTTCCAAAAGTAGTGTTAGTCTGGTGGCTTCCTCTTCTCTTTGTGTGTTTAGGTAGAGTCAGAACAATCAAGTGGGAGGAAATGTGTTGGAGTGGACAGAGCTGCCACAGCTCTGAAGATAGTGAGGAAACTATCTTCTGGCATCTGAAGAATGCACATTCCCTGTGAAAAGTTGAGGTTCCTTTGCTCCCAGTTTCTCAAATGCCCACTATTAAAGGGAAAATGTACCACACCACATGGGTAAAACTGAGTTTGTTCTCCATGACATATACATGTTTCCAGTATAATATATGAATCCAAGAGGCATGGTGAAATGGAACTTAGACTCTCATTTTCCTTGTTCTGTGAAGGTGCTCTGTTATATCCATCAATTCAGAGGGTATCATTGTTTCTGAATTGATCATTTTAAACCTCATGTCAGAAAGTATAAGACTTCATATCCATAATAATTTTTCTTTTCTCACAGGAGTGAGCTCTACCCATAATGACATAATATCCTCCTTCTGTAGTGAATAAACCATTAATATTAATATGTAGTTGTCCCAGTTATAGAAATGGATTTTTTTAATAACTGCAATCAGGAGATAATCACCAGTTTTGGATATAAACTTCAAGAATGGTTTTGAAATAAAAGTTATTCCCCATACAAATTACCTCACTGCAAAAGAAACTTTATTCCTATGCTCAGAAATAAGTGTCTTACTAAAATTATTACTCTGTTATCTGTTCTGTCACAGTGGAGACGTCATTGCCTTTGAAAAATCTACTAATTATGGCAGCATTATCCAACAAGACGGAACTGTGAGTGCTGAATAAAATATATTTTACTATAACAGACCCAGAAATATTCAGTAATTCCTTAATTAGATACATATATTTTCCTGTGTATAATGTTCTTATGTGTAGTCTTAACCACTCATCAATTCAACCAGATTGTTGAGTGTCCACAAAATGTGTCCACACATTATGTGGGGACAGATGAAGTCCTGTCTTCAAGGACCATACTGTGTGGCTGCCCATCTGCTGTTTAATGTTTCTTTCACTGTAATTAAAAAGGTTGTATATTTTGTGAATGATAAATCTGTGTTGGAGTGTTTCTATATTACAATGATAGCTCTTTAAATTGGGACACCAGAGTTATTAATAGCTATGACACCACGAGTTGAATTTTACTTTAGTTGTCCAAAACAACATGATAGCTCTTTGATGCTATCTTGTTGACAATTGTTATTGAATGGACAACTTTTTGAAAACATATTCTGTGACTAGCACTCTTGAAGGCTGATTGAGATATTAAAGAAAACAAAAAATACAAATAAAAAAGCTATACTCTCTATATTTGAATAGAATACAGTTTTGGATACTTCTGGTCAAGATGGCAGCATAGGTAAATGTGGTACTCAAATCATCCCACAACCACATCAAAATTACAACTAATTTATAAAACAAACACCATTCAGAACCACCTGAAATCTAGCTGAATGGAAGTTCTACAACTTGGGATTTAAAGAAGAAGCCACACTGAGACTGCATTGACTTCTACATGGAAGCTCCTCTGCTGTAGTCTCAGCCAGTCCTCACAGCTGATTGGCCTGAGAGTCAATCTCTTTCAGTGATGCCAACAACAATCAACTACAACAAGACAGTGCACACAGTCCACACAGGGGCACACCTGGAGTGCCCAGCTCCCGTGACTGGGGAAGCTGTACCACTGGGCCCCACAGGACACCCATTACACAAGGAGACTCTACCAAGTCAGGGAGATGTAGCAGTTTTACCTAATACATAGAAATAAACACAGGGAAGCAGCCAAAGTGCAGAGACAAAGAAACTAGTTCCAAAGGAATGAACAGGCGAAATCTTCAGAAAAAGAACTAAATGAAATGGAGGCAAGCAAACTATACGATAGAGTTCACAAGAATAGTTATAAGGATGTTCAAAGAACTTAGTGAGAACTTCAACAGCATGAAAAAGAACATAGAAACCAAAAAAAGAACCAGTCAGAAATGAAAGATACACTAATGGAAATGAAGAATAATTTACAGGGAGTTAAGAGTAGAGTAGATGATGCTGAAAATCAAGTCAGTGATTTGGAATATAAAAAACAACAACAGAGAAGAACCAAGATGGCAGCATAGGTAAACACCTGTACTCACTGCTCCCACAAGCAAATCAAAATTACAACTATAATACAGAGCAGCCATCATTAAGAACTGCCTGAAACCTGGCTGAATGGAATTCCTACCACTAGAGAAGTAAAGAAGAAAGCACATTGAGACTGGTAGAAGGGGAGGAGGCACTGAACAGGCTGGTCTAGCACCCATGTGCATTGTTTTTTTGGGTTTTTTTTTTAAGTCAAGAAGGATGTCTTCAAGGCCTCCCATGAGAAGCTGGGAGTCCCAGCCTCACACCAGACCCCCAGCCCAGGGTTCCAGAGCTGGGAAGAGAAGTCCCCACAACTTTGGGCTGTAAAAACTAGCAAGGATTGTGGCTGAGTAATGCAGAGACTGCTGGAGTCCCAGGTGTTCCTCTTAAAGGGCTCACACATGAACTTACACAGTCTTGCTTCCTCTGAGCTCCAGTGCTGGGCGGTGGCTTTGAGGTAATCCATGGACATTTGAAGAGGAGCTGTACTCCCTGGAATTGGGGTGGAAATTCAGGGGCAGCTTTGTCCCACACAGGGGTGCTCTGGGGGCCATTGTTCCTGTACTAGCACCTCCTCCACTGTAGAGATGACTGGCATCCATATCTGAGTTTCCATCAGAGTGACCCACACTGTTCACTCCACCCTGGTGATTTCCTGAGATCTTGCACCATCCAATTTGCAGCCCCACCCAAGCTGTTGGCAGCTGCTTTTAAATATGAATGGCATGTCCTGGATCAGGCTTCAAAGTTTTCTAAAATCTCTCAAACAAGCTGCAGCTGGTGACAGCATGCCCCAAACCTATCAATAAAAGGCCCAAGATCCAGCACTAGCACCAGTCTGCCTTACTTCACAGCTGGGCCTCACCTTGGCACTTCCTAGCCCAATAGAAGTATCAACTATTAGAGATCTCTTTGTAGCTCCTGCCAGGTGGCCCCAGTTAGTGGCTGACTTTGTACCTCCTGGGAGGCCCTAGAGCCAGTGCACCAGTGAACAACTTCAGACCATATCAAAATACAACTCTATGCATCCACAAATGACACTCAAGGGGAAGACTCTGTGAGCACCAAAGCCCCACTGAAGCAAGTCCTCCACCATAAGGGTGTCTCCTGCACAGCAGCTCTCCCACTGTAGTCGCAGCTGGTCCTCACAGCCAGTTGGCTTGGAGGTCAATTCCTCTTAGAGATGCCATTAGCAATCAAGGCTCAACAAAAGACTGCACACAGCCCACACAGATTTATAGTTGGAGAGCTGAGATAGACATGAAACAAATGTGTTCAATAGGCAATGCAAGCCATCAGTGGGGTGGGAACTCCAAGATGGGAGGGAGGAAAAAGGTTGTGGTGGGCTTTCCCAGAAAAGGTAGCCTGTGTTCATTTCCTATTGTTGCTGTAATAAATTAGCACAAATTTGGTGGCTTAAAACAATACAAATTTATTATCTTGTAGTTCTATAGGTCACAAGACCAACACAGTTTCTCCTCTTGTTTAAACTAAGATCAAAGGGTTCACAGGGCTGTGTTCATTCTGGGGGACTTAGGAGAGAACCAATTCTTTGACTTTTCCAGCTTCTAGAGGCTGTCCCAGCCATGGGCAAACTACAGCCCGCGGGCCGGATCCGGCCCGTTTGAAATGAATAAAACTAAAAAAATAAAAAAAAAGACCGTACCCTTTTATGTACTGATGTTTACTTTGAATTTATATTAGTTCACACAAACACTCCATCCATGCTTTTGTTCCGGCCCTCCGGTCCAGTTTAAGAACCCATTGTGGCCCTCGAGTCAAAAAGTTTGCCCACCCCTGGGCTGTCCTGTTCCTTGGCTTGTGGCTCTTCCTAAGTCTTGAAAGCCAGCAAAGTCAGGCTGAGTCCTTCTCCATGCTGCCGTCTCTACAATTTTCTGCATCTGGGAAAGGTTCTTTGCTTTTAAGGACTCTTTTGGTTACATTAGGGGTCATCTGGATGATCCAGGATAATCTCCTCATCTCAAGGTCCTTAGCCTTAATCACACCTGCAATGTCCCTTTTGCCAGGTAGGGTTCCAGGGATTGGGATATAGACATCTTTGGGAGCTTTTATTCTGCTTGCAACACTGCCCTTGAGCTGGTTCTGGAAGGGTCACAAGGGTCCTTCTTTAGGCGACATTTTTCTTGAGGGTATAACTTGCACTTGTGCTGAGATGTATGTGGGCAGTGAGGAGCCAGAAGTGAGAATGTTGGGGAGCAGGAGACGCTGCGTGAGGTCCAGACAGTGGGCAGCTTGTCAATGCCAGGGTGAGGAATTTGGATTTTGCCCAAAAGACTGTCAGAAACCAGTGAGGCATCTTCAGAAGGAGAGTGACAGGATGCATTTACTTTGGGAGTGATAATTCTGGCAGTTGTATCTTCAAGGATGCCAGAAGAATAAAGACATTGAGGAGAACTGATGGAGTAGCTCAGGGGAGGCAGATGTTGCCTAGAGGGAAGGGCCATGACAGGAAGGAAGGCTCCCCCATTGTATCTCTAGGGGTTGCCACATGGTATGTGTGCACTGAGGGTTGGTGGAATAAGTGAATGACTAATTCTAATAATATTTCTTGGATCTGTTGAAAATCCCAAATTGCATTTAATATGCCTATGAAATCTAAATAGAATTTCTCACTTTTTCTTTGTTTTTATGCTGAATGACCTCCCGAATGAGAATCCCTCTGGTTCTCTCCTGAAGGCCTTCTTCTGCAGAATTCAAATTTGAGTTCTGGACTATACCTTTTTAGATTTCTGATTGTTTATATTGTGAAGATTAGCTTTCAGTTCATGATTTAAACGTGTTTTTTTTGTTTTGTTTTTTTTTTACTGCAATATCAGTTCTTTTCACAGGAAAAGGCCTGAGGGAATTGACTTCAGAAACACATAAATTTACTTTTATTATTTTATTTTGTAATAGCTGACTCTCATATTCTCCTTGTTAATAATTTCTTATATTACTACAATACTGTATTTTCAGATAACTTCTTCTGACCAGGTGAAAGTATGATGCATTTGCCATGTTCCAATGTAGAGATTTATGCGGAGTTGGAAAAAGAATAGTCTGCCTAGAGCTGATACTTTCAACTTGAGTGTACATGTGGCTCACTGGGAATCTAGTTACAATGACAGATTTCTGTCCTCGCCCCCAGGGATTGTAATATAGATGGTTTCAGGACCACACTCAAGAAATATTGGCTTTGATCATTAATGGTTACCTTTTTTTTCTCCTTGATAGAAAGTTTACCTTTCTGTAAATTGCTCTTCTAAAGAAAAGTCCACACCCTTCCTTTTCCTTGTTATTTAGGGCCCAAGATTTCTGATACAACTAGCTATTTTTATAATACATATATGGTGACTCAAGGAGGGACAATTAGGTGGACAAGGGCTGTAAAAATGTATTTGTGGCATTAATTAATGTATAGATAATATTTTTATTGTACATTACTATATAGCACTTGTAATATATGTCCACATGAGCGATACATTTGGGTAATATATTAAGTTCTAACTCTTTCTTGATGACCATAATTCATAGAATTATAAAGGAAGGTTAGTATCTTTTGAAATGAAATGAGGGGTAAAGTTGCTGGGGTCAGTAATGTGTGCAGAGGTATGGATAAAAGATTATATAGAAGTGATGTGATTATTATAAGGCTTATATGTGAGAAAATGCATTTTCTTTTAAAGAAATAAAGTCTGTAAATGGTATCCTAGTGTGAAAATCATTCACTAATAATAGACCAGATTGGATCACCTTTGTCTGAATTCAGGAGATGTCCATTCTGGGAGCAAGAACGGGCAAGGAAGTACTACAAAATGGTAGGTTTGCACGCCGCGGGGAGACTAACTTTTTACACCTTTGATACCTCAGACAGTGCATGTCTTCTTTTTTTCCTGTTAACTTTGTTGTACTAGATGGAGTAATATTTGCTTTCTCCAAGGCCCATGAGGGCCAACACTTCCTCCTGCACTTGGTGGTGGTTAGGAGAGTTAGGTCTTCCGCTCTTGTCCTACAAAAGGGCTGCACCTGGGACCACTCTGTCATCTTCTAGAGTGAGGGCTTTCCATGACTAAGAAGGGAAACAGATATGTGGATTTCTAGAAGCTGGGACTAGGGAAAATGGAGGGAGAAAATTGAGGTTTAGGGAGAAAGATGTCAATGGTTGGTGACCTTTATAAAGGTTGGTACAGACATCAAAATTGAAGCTACATCAATTGTAGGCCAATAAAGTATGCATTACTCCACAGAAGGAAGCACTCAGTTTCTGTCAGATCAGAAGTGCAAGGACCTCAGAAAGGCCTCTGAGGAGAAGTTAATTCTTAAAGTAGCCTGCAGAATGAAATAATTTCCCATCTCCTTCCTAGGTGGCCTTTCTTGCTGATGAATACTGCAACTATTGTCAAGACATTCTACAAAGTGTGAGGAACCAAGAACTTGAGCGGGTAGGATTTTATCTATAAAACACAAGAATTTATGACTCACTGTTCAACATTTTACTTGAAAAGACCCCTCAAGGGACGTCTAATACACTAAAGGGTTTAGAATTCAGCTATTTTATAATGAGTGAGTTATTGAGGGTGATATTTTTATTGTTTAATCATTTGAGACTTTCCAAGGTGCTAATATAACTATCTTTATGCTTTATATATAATTCATAGCCTGGCCAGGTAGTTCAGCTGGTTAAAGTGCCATTCTGATACACCAAGGCTGTGGTTTCAATCCTTGGTCAGGGGCACATACAAGAAGCAACCAATCAATGCATGGATAAGTAGAACAGCAAATGAATGTTTCTCTTACTCCCTCCCGCCCTCCCTTCCTCTCACTCTAAAATCAATTTAAAAAAATAAAAATAAATAAATAAATATACTTCAGTTATGTTTAGACTCTAATTTCAGCTGATTTTGAATAGGGTGTTGATAATATTATTCACCTTGAATTTTTAATAATGTTAAAGAATCATTTTATTGATACACTAGAGGCCCGGTGCATGAAATTTGTGTGTGTGGGGGGGTCCCCTCATCCCAGCCTGCACCCTCTCCAATCTGGGACCCTTTGGGGGATGTCTAACTGCCGCTTTAGGCCTGATCCCGGGGATCGGGCCTAAACCAGCAGTCAGACATCCCTCTCACAATCTGGGACCACTGGCTCCTAACTGCTCACCTGCCTGCCTGCCTGATCACCCCAAACTGCCTCTGCCCATCTGATCTCCCCTAACTGGCCCCCCTGCTGGCCTGGTCACCCCCAATTGTCCCCCTGCCAGCCTGGTCACCCCCAACTGCCCCCCCACCACCAGCCTGGTTGCCCCAAACTGCCCCCCTGCCGACCTGGCCACCCCATGCAGTCTGCTGTTCAGTCATTTGGTCGTCCCTCACTAACCCCCCTGCCGGTCTGGTTACCCCACGCAGCCTGCTGTTTGGTCGTTACTGTTACTGTGAAGGCATCCCAGAATATTTGCATATTCCTCTATTATTAGTATAGATGCCAACTGAAAAAGAAGCAAGACTTTGAAGCAGGGTGATTTGACATGGATATTGTAATGATTGGATTGTGGAAAACATGAATAAATCTTTTAACCATTCTGAGTTTTATCTTTTGCAATGGAAATCTAGGGAAACTAGTACACAGTTAAATAAAAAGCTTTTCTGATGCTTTAGTGTTCTAAGTACTTCAACTTTGGGTGATAATATTCATTCAGCATAAGTACATTTAGTACTTAGTGTAAAGCATGATAGTAAGATAGAGACCACGATGTCTTCAGAATGGCACCTGTTTTATTAATGTAATGTTTATTAATAGATATCCACATTAGATATCTATTTCTCCTTTTCTTTATTCACTCATTAATCTTAACTTAATTCTTACCTTGTAACCAGTACCATTTCTGGAACTAGGAAGGTATTCTCCATAAGGTTTGATAGGCTGATAGTCTGGTACTAAAAGGAGCAATATAAGCCAATAAATATGATACAATATGGCAAGTCCTAGAATAACAGTATGATTAGACTGTTCTGGGTGCCCAGAGGAAGAGTTAACAGAGATAAGTAGATAGTGTTCCCAAGAGGAGGCCATGTAGCTGGACTCTAGTGGAAAAGCTGAGGTTCAACAGACAAAATGGAGTAGGAAAGGTATTCCAGGTAGAACAGTGGGTGCAGACACAGGCAGCAGGAAGTTCACAGGCATGTGACGAAAGGTCGTTTTGACTAGATTTCATTGTAATTAAAGGAGAGAAGCAGCAGGGAGGGATGTGGGAGAGGGCTGGAGTGAGAGAGGGCCTTGCCTGCCCTGTGATGAGTTCTGCCTCATGGAGAAGGCTGTGGGAGCAGTGACCCAGACTGCCATAGCGGAGCAGCGTGGGTGGTCAGGAGGTTTTGTCATAGGCAGGTAGGAAGTGAGGAGGGTCATCAAATCTGGAGCAGTGACAATGACATCAGAGAGAAACGTTTCTGAAGCTGTTGCAGCAGTGTTTGATGACTCTGGACATGGGTGATAACAGAATTAGCAGAGATGAGCCCATGGCTGCTGTCTCATTCAAACCCACTAACTCCGAAAGGTCATGTTTCAAACTTACCCACCTGAGAAGAATAGGATTAATATATCCCGCTCATCCCATTACTGTATTTTTTGTTGACTGTCTGAGAGTCTCTATGGAGATGTCTTCTCTAGAATTCATGCACCTGACAGCAGAGGTTCATCATCAGGCAGCTCAGAAGTTGGCCCTAACTTCCTTGACTGAGGTCACTGGTAGGTCTGTGTCAGGGCTGGGATGCCCCAGAACACTTGGGCCTGCAGAAATCACTAGTAGTCAAGAGTATTGACTGGCAACTCAGATTGGCCAATCATGGGATCTGAAAAGTCAACATGGGGGAAACTAACGAAAAGGAAGGGAGCTGCCGTTGTCTTCCTTAAGAAGGCTCCTGTGTAGAAAGACTCCAGGCCTCTTTTGCCTGGATAATCCTTAGGTGACTTGTGCCTCGGTGTCAAGGAGGAAGCTGCTCTGGTTACATAGTATCACCCTCTTTCAGAGCTGAGCCACACTGAGGGGCAGTCATCAATGAACATTCATTCTAAACTCTGGTTTGTGCCCTCTGGCCATTTCCTCATCCTGTATCATAGGACTTATGATAACCAACAGGGGCCCCCTGGTGGTTAAAACAGCTTTCCTTCCAGAAAACTGCCATGAAAATATGTTCCACGTTATTCCATCCAACTAGAAAAGCTGCCAGGTTAAGCTTTACATTAATTGGAATGAAATTCATCCCATTCTCACTTGGGGCTGGTTAAGTATATATGGGGGTTAGTCTCACCAGGCACAAACTGAGATTGTGGAGATCTGTTCCATGCCTTACTTCAGGTGGAGGACTTGCTCACTTCCTTCTGGAAAGCTCTGCCACAGGACACAGTCATGCTCATGGCATTGCCTGAAGTGTGCCAGCTCTTTAAATGCTACGACGTACAGATGTACAAGGTAGGAAGACGCTTGGCTGGTGGCTGTGCAGAGCCTGGGGTAGAGCCTCCTCTCTGCAGGTCCCTGGCTGCAGGCCTCTGAGGAGCCAACAGTGGGGTGGATGGATCACAAGCTGTAATCTTTCCCTAAAGCTCAGCCTTTCTTTTGAAACCCGTGAGAGTCCGAGTTACCTCATGTAAAGAAAAAGCCAATGTACATGGTAAGCTGTGGTTTCAGTGACCAGGGAACTCCAAACTGAGTCTAGACTGACTGTTATAATTTCAGGGTGGTTACATTTTCACTACAGTTTCTATGGTGAAAATATGTTGTTGTTTTTAAGCTGGTCATGAACCTTTTTCTTTTTTAATCTTCACCTGAGGATATGTTTTTACTAATTTTTAGAGAGAGAGAGAGACAAACATCAATGTGAGAGAATCATTGACCGGTTGCCTCCCATACAAGCCCAGCTGGGGATCGAACCCGCAACCTTTGGGTGTGTGGGACCATGCTCCAACCAACTGAACCACCTGGCTAGGGCTACTTTTTATTTTTTTATTTTCTGGGAGACAATTTTGTGCTTCTAAGTTTTTCACACAAAGGATGAAAGCCAGCACCTGGGTTCAGCCATGAGAATATTTTGGTCTGACCCGCCTAGTATGGCCTGTGTGGTGCTTCTTACAACCGTGGATCAGCTATCAGCATTTTAAGCTCCGAAAAAATTCAAATTCTGCTCCTGCGCCACTAGTGAGCTGCGGCAAGGGCTCAGGCGGGTCTTCTCTCTGGGTCTGTGGCGTAGTTCACCTTAGGCCGCCTGTAACCAGCGGACACCTGCACTGGCCGGCACGCTGTCTCTACTCTTCTGTTGCAGGGAATTGAGGATGTCCTCCTTGACGATTTTCTGGAAGACGTTTCTATTCAGTACCTGAAGTCTGTCCGGTTATTTAGTAAGAAATTGAAGCTGTGGCTCCTTAATGCTTTGGAAGGTTTCCCAGCCCGCTTACAGATCTCCAAACTCAAAGGTAGGTTTCAGTGGGAAAATAAATTCTGTGAGAGTACATTCAGAATCTGACTTTCAGATGGGGCAGGACTCTCAGCTGTGTAATGCCTGCCCCCACCCCCACCCCCGCCCCCCGCTCCCCTACCCGCGGTCACGCAGGCATACAACCCTGTTCAGACCTCCCGGCTTGCATTTTAGTGCCAGTGGTGTATCCCTGTGCTGATCCACCACACCCTTTACCAGTTCCCCTGATGAATAATAACATGGAGTTTGGACAGGTCAAGGTGCTAGAGGCGTAGAAAAGCTGTCTGACTGTCAAAAGGTGGGGAGAACCTGCTGCTGCCTCCAGGCAGCGCTGCTCACCTTTCTTGAGCCAGCACCTTGGGGCAGCCTGTGGTCCTCACCGCTTGTGCCTTGAGCAGGGCTGGCCAGGGCTCAGGCACCAACATCCTTCCACCTCTTTGTGCGTTCTGTCCTCTCAGAGGGGCTCCAAAGAGCACAGGTTCTCCTTAGAACACCCCCATCTGCCTAAGTTTCTCACCCTGTGGGCCACCAAGGCATTCACAGCTTTGTAGTCTCCTCTCCCTGCTGGCTTTCTAGAATACTTTTTCTTTCCGTCTGGCTGCCAGGTTCTGGTCTCTGACACACCTTTCACCAGGCCACCTGTCTGTTCAAGGCCAGCCACGGATTCCTTTAAACACTAGCACACGCCTGTGTGGGTGCCATGTTTCTGGTCCTGGAAACAGCCATGTCCCCCTACTGCCGTGTGACGCGTTTCCATCGTTGCCTCGCGCTGTCTCCAGCGGCCAGTCCCCACCCAGTCCTGTTTCTCTTGGGCCCTCTCAGGCCGCTCGCATCACCCAGCCCTCCCATCTTCTCACTCTCTTTTCTAACTTTGCACATTGTTTGCTGGCTCGTCAGAGGGCCCACAGAGTAGGACGGTGTCTAACTTTTACCCACCACCCCTGCAGCTGGCTGTGTTCATATTCATATCGGCAATCTTATCCCAGTCTGACCCACTTGGAAGCTTTCACCTGGCCAAGCTGGTGTCAGCCAAAAAGGCAGCAGGGTGGACACTGCAGAGAGCAAGTGCAGTCTGGCTGTGATGAAAGGTGAAAAGAAGCGTTTCCCGGGGGTCACCTTACCACCTGCCTGACCCCCTCGCGGTCTCTGTCCCTCTCTAGCCTACTCAGAGCTTCCGAGTGACTTCACCATCCTGCCTCCAACCTCAGTCACCGCCCCTCTAGACCCAATGATTATTTTAAAACAGAGATTTGATCAATTAAATGTCTTTCATAGGCCCCGCCCCCTCAGGGTCCACTCTCCTTCACTCACTGTGCAAGTCATTCACTGCTTGGCCTCTGGTCCCCATTCCCCAAGGAACCCCGACCGGTGCTCCCCAGCCACACAAGACTGGGTATCCCCCGGAAGGCCTTTCCTGCCACTCTTCCTGCCGAGACTGCCTCTCCACCCCCCTCCCCGGGTCACTCCGACCCTACATGTTCAAGCCCTGCTTGAATGGCACCTTCTAGGTGAATTGGTCTCTGAGACTATCTTCAGACAAGGTCTATCCCTCCCCTGAGCCCCTCGCTGGCTTCCTCTCTGGCCGCAGAGTGCCAGGGAGCAAGTCATTGCATACCTGGCGACCCATTCTCAGAGGCGGAGCCCCTGAAGGTGGAAGCTGCCCTCCTTTCACCCAACAATTCAGCTAAGAGCCGGCGACCATCCCCGGGGCAAAACCTGAATACATTCAGGAGGGAGCGCGCTCCTCTCTGTCTGTTTTCTCTTTTGTCCTTTCCTGTCCTTGGTCACTTCGGAGGCGGGCACTGTAGAAGTGAGAGCGTTTGGGGACTCGGGGTTTCCAGGCAAAAATCCCGAACTCCTTTAAGCAGGCACGACAGATGCTGGGATTACCTAATTTTCCTGGGCTGGATGGGGAGTGTTTGGGTCAAGTCGCCCCTGCCAAGACCTCCCAGCCATTTGGGAAAGAGCTACGCACAGTGGAAAGACCGGGCTGTGTGGAGGCCTCCTGGGCGGGAGGCAGCCTAGGCACGGGCTTGCATTCCGCGCTGTCCTCTGGAAGGGCATGGCGCTATGGGATCAGTGATGGTCGCGTGTATTGTTCTTAACAGAAGTCACTGTGTTTGTCAAAAGACTAAGAAGAAAGACATACCTCTCCAACATGGCAAAGGTAGGTTCTGCCAACCAGACAGGAGGGAACAAAGCAGTTTTCTGAAGTGAAAGCTGCAAGTCTGTCCTCAGAGCAAGGGGGGTGCTCCCTCCACCCAGAGGGCAGACAGGAGGACCTTTCCCGCCACGGACTGGCAGGCCTGCTGGGCGCAGAAGCCCACCCTCGCCTCCCTCCTCAGCAGAAGGGCCCCCGTCGCCAGCTCTCTCCTTGGGCAGAAGCAGGGTGCGCAGGCCACCATTCTAAAGTTTCCAAGGGAGACCTCGGGAGGGCCAGCCGGGCAGCGGATGTGTGATGGGCCCTGCAGCAGAGGAGGGCCAGCCTGGCAGCGGATGGGGGTGATGGGCCCTGCAGCAGAGGAGGGTCAGCCAGGCAGCAGGATGGGGGTGACAGGCCCTGCAGCAGAGGAGGGTCAGCCAGGCAGCAGGATGGGGGTGACAGGCCCTGCAGCAGAGGAGGGTCAGCCGGGCAGCAGATGGGGGTGACGGGCCCCGCAGCAGGCCCTGGGACAGGTGACCGAGCCCTTCCTCCTGCAGGTGGCCCTGTGGGCTGGTGTGTCCTGGCTGCCAGGCGCCTGGACTCCAACCTTCTCTCCTTGGTTGATTATGCCACTGGTGGTAGAGGAAAGAGAGAGGAGGCTATCGATGCTGGAAGTGGCCACCCAGAATCCGCTTGGAGATCCCGTGGGTGCCGCCAGGACAGAGTCAAGGGCTGCCCCTTGGTCCCAGTCAGCCTCAGCTCAGGGTGCTCCGCTGGGCCTCGGGCTTCTGTCTCCTTTCCTGGCTCGCTCAGCTGCTGACGGCTCTGCAGCGGCACCTCCATCCAGCCCAGCTCGGTGGCCAGCTCGGGCCCATCTTTATACTGCCTGTCACTTGGGGAAATTCACTGCACGCCCGCCAGTGCCCTTGCTTTTCTCCTCTGCAAAATGAGGGGACATTAGTGGTGTGCGGACAACCTACAGACCCTAAGAAAGTAGGGACCTGGATTGTTCCCACTGGATAGCTGAGGAAACCAGCTCCCAGGGTCTAAATTCATTGCCCAGGGGTGGAGAGCAGGGAGCAGAGTGAAGGGAGAGGAGAGCAGGGAGGGGAGAGCAGGGAGGGGAGAGCAGGGAGGGGGAGCAGGGAGGGGAGAGCAGGGAGGGGAGAGCAGGGAGGGGGAGCAGGGAGGGGAGAGCAGGGAGGGGAGAGCAGGGAGGGGAGAGCAGGGAGGGGAGAGCAGGGAGGGGGAGCAGGGAGGGGAGAGCAGGGAGGGGAGAGCAGGGAGGGGGAGCAGGGAGGGGAGAGCAGGGAGGGGAGAGCAGGGAGGGGAGAGCAGGGAGGGGGAGCAGGGAGGGGAGAGCAGGGAGGGCAGTGAAGGGAGAAGAGAGCAGGGAGAGGAGAGCAGGGAGGGGAGAGCAGGGAGGGGAGAGCAGGGAGGGGAGGGCAGGGAGAGGAGAGCAAGGAGGGGAGAGCAAGGAGGGGAGAGCAGGGAGAGGAGAGCAGGGAGGGGAGAGCAGGGAGGGGAGAGGAGAGCACGGAGGGGAGAGCAGGGAGGGGAGAGCAGGGAGGGGAGTGCAGGGAGGGGAGAGCAGGGAGGGGAGAGCAGGGAGGGGAGAGCAGGGAGGGGAGGGCAGGGAGAGGAGAGCAAGGAGGGGAGAGCAAGGAGGGGAGAGCAGGGAGAGGAGAGCAGGGAGGGGAGAGCAGGGAGGGGAGAGCAGGGAGGGGAGAGCAGGGAGGGGAGGGCAGGGAGAGGAGAGCAAGGAGGGGAGAGCAAGGAGGGGAGAGCAGGGAGGGGAGAGCAGGGAGGGGAGTGCAGGGAGGGCAGTGAAGGGAGAAGAGAGCAGGGAGAGGAGAGCAGGGAGGGGAGAGCAGGGAGGGGAGAGCAGGGAGAGGAGAGCAGGGAGGGGAGAGCAGGCAGGGGAGAGCAGGGAGGGGAGTGCAGGGAGGGCAGTGAAGGGAGAAAAGAGCAGGGAGAGGAGAGCAGGGAGCAGAGTGAAGGGAGAGGAGAGCAGGGAGGGGAGAGCAGGGAGGGGAGAACAGGGAGGGGAGAGCAGGGAGGGGAGAGCAGGGAGAGGAGAGCAAGGAGGGGAGAGCAAGGAGGGGAGAGCAGGGAGGGGAGAGCAGGGAGGGGAGAGCAGGGAGGGGAGAGCAGAGAGAGGAGAGCAAGGAGGGGAGAGCAAGGAGGGGAGAGCAGGGAGGGAGAGCAGGGAGGGGAGAGCAGGGAGAGGAGAGCAGGGAGGGGAGGGCAGGGAGGGGAGGGCAGGGAGAGGAAGAGCTTCCGGGTCCTCAGAGCCTTAATCAGTCTGCTCTGAGGAGCGGCACTCTAAGTGCTGTTTTTCAAAAAAGCAGCTCTAGGGTGTGAATGGGAACATTTCACTGTGGCTGAGGATTCTATTTTAGTGGGTAAGACCCAAATGCACTTTTTTCTCTGCTCAATAACAATACCTCTTGCTAAACTGGATGGGGGATTAGGCCAAAGGACCACATCAGTGAGGCCTGCTTCCCATGTGCTTAGACGATGAGAATGGTATTGGAAAATCGCCGGAGAGTCAGCCTCCTGAAGTCAGACCTGCAGGGCATCATGGGGGTTTCGCAGGGAGCCCTGACAAGGACGCGGAGGGGATCGGAGGACCTGGAGAGCATGGAGGTGAAATGTAAGCTTCCTTCTTCCTGTCATTGCAACGTGTGGCATGTATTTGGGGCCGGCACAGCCTGCAGTGCTCTAGGAGTTTCTTAGCAGAGGTGAACACAGGTTACTCATTGCTATTGTAATTTACCTCCCCTGCAGGGGCAAGGAATGCCCCAGAGAATGCTCTTCCCGGGGTCCCCCTGTCCATCCAGCAGTCAGTGCTGGCACGTGTTTGTTCAGTGAATAAATGAGCAGATGAGTGGTGCTGCTTGACAACGACTGTTTCTGGAAATCCACCTGGAGCGTCACTTTGGGGGGAAAGGCGGCATCCGTCTGGTGCACGCACAGGCCTCTCTCTCCTGTCGGAATGGGAGTGCGTCAGCCTCTGCCCCGCCGGACCTGCTGGCACAGCTGTTAGGATTACTTTTAACAATGCGAACCATTGTGCTTTTACTGTATTTCACTACTTTGCAGACCAGTGATATGAAGCATGTGGATATTCTTGCCCTTTACTATCTGATAATTGTCATCATTTTTCAACAACAACAAAAAGTATTTCTTCCACAAAGAGCTCTGCGAGCTGCTAACAGTGTTCCCCTGGGAGGAGCCTGGACCGAGAGAAGGTGCTCTCCCCACTCCCACGCGGGAGCTGGGGCAGACACGGAGAGCTGCTTCAGGAGGGAACTGCAGAACACTGGCGCCCCTCCCCAGCCTCCGGGCCAATCTAGGCCTTTGTCTGAGGGTTGCTGCCAGGGGGCTGTGGGGACTACTCTCCCTTTTCTGCCCTTTGCAGATATGCCTGCCAGATGCCCCAGGAAGGTCTAGCGGCTTCTTCCCTGTGGGCGGAATCTCAACCCGTTACACCCAGCTCTGCCCAAACTGCCTCCCGGTGCCTGTGAGCTCCTTCAGGGGTCAGTGGTCCCTTATGCATCGTGTCCACCTGACACCTGGGAGCACTTCAGTATTTCATGAGCTGACGGACAGGGATTCACAAGGCATGCAAAGCACCACAGTTATCCTGTCCTCTTTCTTTGACCCTGAAATAGGGCTGACTTTGGTAGGATTGTACCAGTTAGTGAAATACTGGACTAGGTCCATTCTTGTTGGTAAGCAGCCTCTGCTCATGCACCCCAGCCTCCCCTCCCTTGATGATCTCCCCTGCTCTGTCACTGTCCCAAATCCTAGCTCCTCCCCTAGGTATTCCCCTATGGACCAAACCAGTAACTAAAAGGTGGACACCTGCCCTAGCCTGTTTTACTCAGTGGTTAGAGCATCAGCCTGTGGACTGAGGGGTCACGGGTTCCATTCTGGTCAAGGGCTCATGCCTCAGTTGTAGGTTTGATCCCTAGCCCTGGTTGGGGTGTGTGTGGGAGGTAACCAATAGATGTGTCTCTCTCACATTGATGTTTCTCTCTGTCTCTCCCTTTCCCATCCACTCTCTCACTAAAAAACAACAACAATAACAACAACAAAAAACCACACCTAAGCCAGCAAGTTTTAAAGCTGTGGAGGGTAATGCTGATTAGTAGGAACTCAAAGGGTCCCCTCCTGGGCTACTGGCTCCCCCAGAAATCTCAGGGGGTTACTCAAACCCTGTTCTTGCCCCTAGGAAGCCCCAGGAAGACACAAGGCCTCTCTCCTAGGTGCCTGCCGAGATGCCTGCAGCCTGCCCCGGGCTCCTGTGTGCCTGTTGGCATCCTTGGGTGTCCTTCCACAAGGACACAGAGCCAGCAGGGAGCCTGGCATGCTGGTAGCCACTGGCAGGCAAATGCTCGAGGTCTGCCTGGAAGATCTGTCAGGTGAACCCTGACCAAGCCTCAGCCAGGGCCAGGGCAACCCAGTGGGTTTTCTAAACTCTGCTTGGTACCCAACAGCACCCAGAAGGTGGGAGAGCCAAAGGCTGGCTCATTGGGCTCAGTGCTGCCCATGCAGGTGACGGACTCAAGTCCCCACGTGACACATGCTCAGGCTCCACCCCTCGTGTCTGCACTGAGCCTGTAGCCAGCAAGGCACTGAGCATCCCTCAGTGAAAGGACATGAGTAGACTACTACTTTAATGAAATGACACGAATAGGCGAGGTCATGACTGCATAATGCAATGAGCTCATCTGGAGCCAGGTCTGTGGAATTAATTACAAGGTGTAATTATTATTTCGAAATATTTCTTTCCAATTCAACAAGTGGCAGCGGCGGTTCCTAAGAGGCAAGACCATATAACTCTGAACTGTATGACCACAGATGTGACAAATCTGGACTGAGAATGTATCCTTTGTGTTCAAATTGGGTGCGAAGCCGCAGGGGTGCTTTTGAACTATTGTTCAGATGGTGTCCCTGGGTTACCTAGCCTACAAATACCTACAGCAAAATTCTGCTGCGTTGCTAGAAACCTTTTTATTTTTTTTAAATTTTACAACAGTATGAACGGCCTTTATTGGTGGCAATGGGAAGTGGAAAAGGAGGGGATACAACAGCTCTGGCTCCTGGGTGGCTTCACAGACTCTGTGGCTGCCCTTCGGAAGGCTAGCAATCTTTCTGTTTGTTTTGTGTCTTTACAGGTTTAAGCAGTTTAATTTCTTTGCTGGGAACATCGACAGACCTCCACGTATTCCTGAATTGTCTATCTTCAAATCTCCAAACATTTGTCTTCCAGGTACAAAACCACAGTTTTTTAAAGGGAAGGGGTGGGTGTTGATCATTCTAGCTACATAAGAGCACCAAGTGCCCATGACCTAGTGGAATGAAAAAGATGTTTCTCCGGCCACAGCGTGTCCAGGCCGGTGTGGGCGCTGAGGACAGAAAAGCAGTGTCTCCCTCCTGCGGCGGCCGGGAGTAGAAGCTGGTAGTCAGGCAGGTGTGTGTGCAGGTGCGCACTCACGCTGGCTCAGGTGTGTGCTGTGTGTGTGCAATGGGCCTGTGTATGCAGGTGAGCTGAATGAGCGTGTGTGCAGCGGCCATGGGTGAGTGTGAGTGCACCAGGCGAGGGCGTATAGGAGGAGTGGTTTTCTCTGTTTAGGGAGAACAGTACTTGTCTGGGTATTTTGCAGAAATATCCCAGTAAAGCATCAGGCTTGATTTTAAAGATCAAAGAAGCATTGGTGTTGAATGTGGGTGAATTTGGTCTTTCCGGATGACCAAACTGGGAGTTACTTCAACAGGGTCCTTGTTGGGCTCCATCATCGGCACCGTCTGCATCAGCAGTCAGCAATCACAATTCCTGAGCTGAAAGTGTGATCAGAGAAAGCCCAGCACCCTTGGCCCAGTGGGAGCATAAGGGTGGGTGGGTGGGGACCTGGGGCTGTGCATTAGTTTGGAGACCAAAATAAGGTCGCCGGGGGCCTCCCGCCTGAGGCATTGCCCTCTGCAGGCTGAGCAGTTATGAAAGGTCTTGGTGAAGGAGGTGGGTTTAAATTGGGACAAGAAGGGCAATGGGATGAAAATAACATAAAAAGACACCACTCCCGAGAGAAGGACGTGGGCCTGGGCACAGTGAGCATTGGACGTGGAGGGCCTGATGGGGAAGAAGAGGACCCCCGGGCAGGCACGGGAGGCGTGGCCCTGGGACTGGGCTGTGGGAGCGCTCTCCTCTAAGCCTCCGTTACATTTCTTTCTCTCCCTTTCCCTCCCGACCTGGCCTTGCCATATCCCTTTGTCCCGACCCGCGGGACAACAACGGGGGAACGAAGAGACACCCTAGGAGAATGAAACAAACAAGGGACACGAAAGAATGGAGGCAAGACAAGTTCTGATCAAGCCTCAAACTTTATTCTCACAGCGGCAGGATATATACTGTTTTAGGAATGGGGGGTGGGCAAAGGGGTCTATGGGCAGTAACCTATTACTAGAGATTTATTAGGCTCCTGATGGCTGTGCTTATCAGTGGAGATGTGTGATTTAGCGGCTGTGTGAGGGTAGTTTATCTTTAACTGCTGGCCAATTGCAAGACACAGGTGGTTTCTGGTAATTAGGAGTTTCTGGAGGAACCAGAAACTTATAGTTCTTAAGATGGCTTTGTCTAAGCCAATATCTTTAATGGCTCCCAACATCCCTTCCTCCCAGTGGATGAGAAAGGGCAGAGGTGATAACGGGCATCATTCATAAAGACTGCAGGGGGCACTGGGGTTGAAAACCTCATTGAGAGGAACCAGAATGTTCTACAGGAAAGCTGGGCAGGTGTCTGTGTCCATGCCTTGCTTCTTGAAAACCGTCAAGCAGATTCTGAATGGTACTCATGGTCCTTGGTGATCTCCGGCAGGGCTCCTTTGTCGCAGTGGTGACATGTCTGGAGTTGCATTGCTGCCGAGACGTTCTCTCATTGGCTGGGTTGTCACTGATCAAACCTTCCATTCCTCTTGCTCAGCCTCTTTCCCTGAGCTGAGCCCCTGAGCCCCGGAAGAGCACCCCTACCTCCAAGCAGCCCACGGGCTCGGGCTCCATCTAAACCATGTAACACCACGTGTCTCCCAGCCTTCATCATGTGTTCAGCCTCACACGGAGGCGTGTTAGCAAGGCGGCGTGCTGTACCTGCGTGCCTGCGAAGAGCTTGCTCCTGTAAAACAGCCTGGCTGATAAAACAAAGCAAAGCACTGCTGCCAGGAAAATACTCAAACGGCTACAATGTAAATCTTCGGGCTTGTCAGGGGTGACGAATGGCTCCGGCCGTTCAATGTGTCACGTGCTCCCTCCTCCTGGGTCTCCCATGGTTGGGCCCAAGAGAATTTCTAAATGTAGGACCCGGAGATGCCACACGGGTGCGGGCAGAAAAGCACTCAAGGCAGAGTGCCCACCACCAGAGCTGCTTCTCACGGTGCTTTGTAAAGTGTCCTTGTGTTTGTTGATCCCACGGTTCCTTCCAGGAGCCCTGTGTCAGGTGATCAGAAACACCAGCCCAGGTGTCAGAGTCACGTGGGGAGGATGCTGCTACTGAAGGAAGCCCACGTGCACCCAAAGCCCAGGACAACCCTTCATTCAACACATGGCGGGGGGTATAGTGGGGGCTGATGGGAAGATGAGAAAGGGGGTGTCCTCATGTCTACCCAGTCTCTCCATCTCTTCTTCAGAGACTTGGGTTGAGCCAGTGGGTGGCTCACATTCTTATAATGAGCCTTAGGGGGGCTTCAGGGCCACTCATCCCAACATGTGCCTGTGAAATTAATGTGACTCCATTGCTTGTAATGCATTGAAAGTGTGGCCCAAGGCTACTCGCCATCTACATCAGCGGTTCTCAACCTGTGGGTCGCGACCCCTTTGGCGGTCGAACAACCCTTTCACAGGGGTCGCCTAAGACCATCCCGCATATCAGATATTTACATTACGATTCATAACAGTAGCAACATTACAGTTATGAAGTAGCAGTGAAAATAATGTTATGGTTGGGTCACAACATGAGGACTGTATTTAAAGGGCCAGAAGGTTGAGAACCACTGCTCTACATGAAGAGTTTCTTTGTCTGCATGCAGAAGCATGTCACTGGTGCCCAGTTTAGTGCCACTTGAGCTGTCAGATGGCCTCGGGTCCACTAGATGCACAGGTGAGAACTTCCAGTCCTCAGATAATTTACACAGCGCAGTGGTTAGTTCTGTGCTTTCCAAAGTCAGCACCGCTACTGTTCATGTTTACGGGACTCTGCCACTTTTTCACAATATCAGACTTGGCAAGGACAAAATGTCCACCGATCCTCTGGATAGCAGCTGCCAAGTGGATTGTGGTGAGGCTGTCCCTGAGGTATTTCTTTGAGACGATTCACAAGTGAACTCATTTTAAAACTTGTGTATAATTTTTTAAGGAAGAAAAAGAGGCCAGTTTTTCACCTCCTTCCTTCTCTCCACAACATCAGGGGTTCTGCCCTGGAACCATTTCTGAGGATTTGGATCAAAATAAGAAAAAGGCTGGTGGGTCACTGCTCCCTTCTCACCTTATTTCTTCCTCTTCTCATCAGACCACTTGAAATGTCAGTACCTGACAAATGTGTGCATTTGAAAACGTGTTCTCCTTCATTTGTCATAAAACCTGGAATGTTTTTCTTCCAAAAATGTAACAGCCAAGCAGAAGCAAAGAGGAGTTCATCAGATTGGCTGCCGGCTTCCAGCTGCGCTGGAATTTCGTGCTCACCACAGTGAGCAAAGCCATGACTCTTCGCCACAGGAACAGTTTTGGTGAGTCAGAGAATGCAAAACGCTGTTCTACCTTTAAGAATGTTCTATTGCCGTGTAGAATACAGCCATTTTGTTCTTATGTAAAATACATCATAGACACAGAAAACTACAAAACTATAACAGCTTTTAAAAATAGCAGCAGGAGAATAGTTGCCACCAAACAGTCTGGCCACACTTTGCTTCCCATTCCTCGTTGTTGGATGGGCAGGAAGCACCCCCTTGCTTTTGAATAGTGTGCTTTGGGACATTTTGAGAAAAGCACCAAGGCAGGTAAGTGAGATGGAGAAAAATTAGTGATCGGGGGCACCCATATTTAACTTTAAGGAAGAAACATTGGTAAGGCCACCGATGTTTGCAGTGGTGGAAAGGGTGAAGTGGTATCCGTTTTGCAAACTTTCCGGTCAAATAGATGATCGTTCTCTGTCAGAGCTCACATCTGTCACCTCCATGGCTCAGATGCAGAACAGCAGAGTTGTAGGAAGGGAACCTCACCGCAGAGCCCTCCAGCCCCATGAAAAGGGTTAACGTAAAAACATTCAAAGCTGTAAAGAATTTTTGTGAGTTTACTTGAGCCAAACTGTCAACAATTGCTGGGAAGCAGAGCCTCAACGGATTGGATTGGGATAATGCTCAGGAAAATGGTGGTGGCTCACCTTGTTTTATACTTTACATCAAGGGAGGAGACGTAAGTGGGTGACATGAAATCCACTGGTGATAGATTAGGGGGGCGGGAGAAAGCAAAGCGGTGGGTGGGGTGGGGGGAGGGGCCTCTGGGATTGGATAAAAAGTAAAATGATAGACACATTGCTTAAGTGGATACAGGATAGTTAACATCAACAATTAACATGATGACAATGAAGGAATTTATGGTCTCCCTCCTGATGCCCAGGCTCATTTGGTTGGGTTTGGGGTATAGGGGGGTGAGGGGGGAGAGAGAAGGAGGGAAGTTACAAGTTACTCTGACATTTCATAGGTATGTTATCTTAGTTGCAAAAAGACAATAGGCTCAGTTAAGATAAAAATTAACCTTGTCAGGGAAAATACCAGCCTAGGACATGACTACCCACCTTTAATGTTTACTTTCAGACCATCCTTTGTGGTTACTGTAGGTCTCTCAGTTTGTAAGGCTGCCATACAGGCCTCCCCTGAGCTTGTGAGGCAGCATGTGGCCTTTGGTCCACAGAAGGATCATTCATCTCAATAGATACTTACTGTGTCCCCTAAAAAGTCCCAGGCACCTGGCTGGGCACTGGGCATAGAGCAGTGAAAGACAGGTGGTCTTTGCCCTGTGAGCTCGCACACTCATCCCGGGAGGAGCCCTGCTCCACAGGCTGCCGATGCCCTCACAGCGGGCAGGTAAGTGAGAAGCCGGGAAGACAAGGCCAGTGCTACTCTGGGTCAGTCTTGCAAACACTCTGGAGCTCTGTCCAGGGTGGTGGCTGTGAGCTGCCCTGTAGGTGACCACCCTTTGCGTGAGGCCCTCCCTTTCAATGGTGCCCAACATGACTCTGCTTTATGCCAATGCTCCTCTGCACTGAAGTGACAGCGACTCCTATGCAGTCATGGGAAGAAACGCAGTCTGTGTTTGTTGCTTTGCCCCCCTACCTTCTCTGGACCTCTCCACGAAGTAAAGTGTTAGCACCAGTGGCTTTTCCTCATCACATGGGCCGTGATTTCCAAGTAAACAGGTTAGTTGGGCTCATTCCAGACCAGGTCATGCCGTCCCACCAAGCCAGTATCGTTCACCACAGGGCCATCCGGGAGTAATCAGCAGTAAAGCAGCGGTCGCCAACCTTTCAGACCTCACGGACCATCAGTGGTCCGAGGACCACCGGTTGGCGACCGCTGCAGTAAAGGGCTTTGAAATGGGCAAAAAGGCTTAGCGTCCCTTCTGAGTGTCTCCACCTTTCACTGTCTTAGCTATTTTCCAACTCTGTACCCTTATCAACTGATAACGTTAGAAATGCTCGCCAGCGGTGTCTCCGGAATGAGACAAACACTCGAAACTGGATGGGCAAGGCAAAATCTACATCTGGAGAAGGGTGCATCTGCCGCTGAAAATCATGGGCCAAGCGCAGCAAACGGGAAGTCCATTCGGGTTTTATTCCCTGACCTGGTCTGCCCTGCCCCTCACTCTGACTCTGACTCTGATTTGACTGGTCAGAGCTCAGAGCTCTGATTCACATTATTGTGCAATTGGCTAATTCAGAGGAAGGGGAAGGGGAAGGCGGGGCCTAAGATGGGGGCCCCCTGAAAGTCTGAAGGTCATAATCAAAATGGCAAAAGCTAAGATGGCAGTGAGCTCCTTTCTTTGACAGAAAAGATTGCTGGTTCCCTCTCACAATTATAATGCAAATAGTAGTCTGCCCAGAACTGCAAGCTGGTGCCAGTGGCTGCCACTGATGGCCACCCCAGGGACGGATCCCTTTGCATGTCTCTGTAACTCTCTGCTGCCCACCTCTGCTTTGTACTTCAAGTTCTCTTTCGAACCAGTTGCAACAACTTACCAGTTCCTTCATCCACTCATGAGTTACATAGAACCTTTGACACAAGTCCATTTGATATCTGTGTAAGATTTGTGCTTTTACCTGAATTAAAAATTAACTTAAGAAATTTCCATCGGCCAGATCTCCCCTCTGCTTCTCAGCTGGGCATTTCTTATTCTTGTCTCCTGGCTGGCCGAATGCCTTTGGGTTGAGAGCAGTCGGTGGAGTCAGCGCACCTGTCTCCTCGGCCAGTCCCTGCAGGCCCCGGAGGGAGAATGTCTCTCCCTGTGGAGCACCCGCTGCCATCCCTCACCCACGGCCCGGCAGGAGATGCGGCCACGCAGACTGCAACGGGCATGGGCTGCATGTTGGTCCCCACAGATGGCAGCAGGGCCCCTCTGCACCCTGCCCGCACCTCCCCTTCCACCCTCTCCCTCGCTTCCCTGTGTGCCAACTGTGGGAGGCTGAGGGGCACATCCTCCTGCTCAGAGAGTGGCACCCCTTTTTCTGTAGGAATTGCTTTCCCCGTCTCCTAGCAGATGGGGCTTACCTCCCTTTCCTGGCTCAGGCTAGTGAACTCTGTGCTTCCTGTCAGAGGTCACCGTGCTGGGGCTCTCTGGACCTGGAGCGCCACGTGGTGGTGGGCCCGCCCAGGACCCTCAGGGTCAGTGGTAGGGGAAGCTCCAGCCACAGGAGTGAAAACCCCAGAAAAGTTGTTAGTTTCACAGCGAATGTCATTTGTCCATTGAGTTATTCACTTTGGTTGTTATTTAAATGTAGGGTCCTGGCACCTGTTTCATTTGCTGCTTTTGGAATATGTGACTCATATCCTGCAGTCATGCTTAGAAGAGGAAGTGGAGAATGATGGAGGAAATCTCAAGGAGATGCCACCAGATGACCAGTCTCCTGTCCAGCCTGACCAGGCACCTTGCCAGCCTCCAGATTCTTCACTATTTCAGGAGGATGAAAGCCCGTGTATGGCTCCGCCCTGGGTGGTGCTGGAGCACGTGAGCCAGAGCCAGTGTCCTGTGGGAGTGAGCAGCGTGGCTCTCAGGGTCCTGGGCTTCCTGGTGGACACTGCCACAGGAAATAAGGTACCGAGGCCGGGCGCCAACTCCTGGTCAGTTTTTTCAAGGGCAGTAAGAACCACCAGGTGGTTAGGAAACCCATAAAGACCCCATTGTCCAAACAAACAATGACATAGACTCTAGAGTGATCTTTGCTTTGGGTGACTTTGCCAGGAGTGATTACAATAGCTTATCTGTTGATCACTGTTTGGCTCAGTTTGGGGTGCATTAATATGAGCCTGGCACGATTATGGTGTGGAATATGTGGATGGCCTGGGTCTTGCCTTCCCAGAGTTTCCCTGACCTGGTCAGGCTAACTGAAAAATAGATCACCACTGGCCACTGCGCTGAGTGGTATGCACTGAAAATGCCTCTGGCATCAAGGAAGGAAACATCAGGTGGTCTAAACAGAAAGGATTTGAAAAGATGGAATTGAAAGACATAAAATTAAGGATTCTATTTATCCAACACCTACTATACACCCTTTATATACATTATCTTCAAGCCATACAATACTACAGAGTGTCTATTCTGATCACTTTCATGTCATGAATGAGAAAACTGTGGTTCAGAGAAGCTAGGTGACTTGCACAAAGTCATACAGTAAGCAAATTGGGACACAGAGATTGGAGCCCTGGCCTGCCTGATCTCAAGTCCATTCTTCTCTCACAATACTAGGAGCATGATTCATGCCCTGAGAAGAGTAGAACACAGGTTACTGAGGTCAGAGATCTGGCCTGGAATGCCAAAATGAGGAGCCATACTGATGCAGGAAGCAACTGAAGCACTTCCGCTGATTCAGGGGAGTGGCTAGTTTACAAAATCTTGACAACAATTGTCTTGGTACTAATTTCTAAAACTTCTATGCCTGTGTTTGGAAATTTAGCCAGTTTACATCGTATCTCTTCTGCACCCATTGAGTTCCTCTTTTGCGTAGATGAGAGGTGCTTAGTAGGAGACCATTAAAGGCAGGGCATTGCCCTTGACCTGGGTTAATTGTGGTCCTGGCTAAGGGATGAGTCACAGCCTGAAAGTGTTCATGTCCTACAGTCCTCAAAATAACTGGAAGCTTCCAGGGCCCTCTCCTTCCAGAACAAAGCCTCTTCCCAAGTTCTCCAGAGTGCAAATAACCTGTAAAGCTGCTATGGAGCACTGCTCAAAAAGGACTCTGTGCTAGACAAAAACACTATGACAGGAGCGAAGGAAATGCATCTCTCAGTTTTATTAATTCTCTGTCTATATTTGGCCTTATTTCCCAATGGCTAATTCATGTATCCAGCTGTCTTCAATGACCGTGGTGCAGTAGATTCAGACATGTGTCTGTAAATAAGAAACTCACCTCTTTTGTGAGTGTGTGTGTAAAGCAGACATACTAATGAGGCTTGAAATAGTGAAATACTGACCCCAAATCATGGACCCAGTGGCAAAAGGATGGGGATGGGAGGAACTGGGCCTCCTTAGAAGAGGAATAGCTGGAGCAGGCAGGTAAGGCACCACTCACCAGTTGGTGTTTCAAGGCTCTTGGCAGAGAAAAGGTCCAGTTAAATCTTAAGAAGGGACTAGTTGGCTGTGCTGTGCCCAGGAGAATGTCTCTCCCTGCTCCCTGACTCTATGGAGAATGTATCTCTTCCTGGAAACAGGGCCCTGCAAGTGCTGGCCAGTGGGAAGCTCAACTAAATACAGTGGGGCCTTGACTTACGAGTGTCCCGACTAACGAGTTTTTTGAGATACCAGCTGTCTCTCAGCCAATTTTTTGCATTGAGTTGATAGAGTAATTTAAGTTAACGAGCTCGGTCTCAGAACGAATTGAACTCGTAAGTCAAGGCCCCACTGTACACTGAAACATCCTGTACAGCCTTAACAAGACAAGCATGTGTGCTTGGCATTCAGCTCCAACAGTGCCAATCTCTCTTATCACTGGCTGGAGCAAGAGCTAGGATGGTAGACAATTTAGTCACCAAGGTAACTGGGAATAAACTTTTACCTCTGGGGCGTAGTTGGAAGTGGCTGGAGAGCAGACACTGAAGGGCTCCCTGTATTGGGCATTTCAATGCATCATTTCAGCAACCCAACAAGATGGTGTTATCATTGCTCCCATTTCTCAGATAGCAAAACTGAAGCTCCTGGGGATGAGTAATGCTCCCAAGGTTACTTCGCCAATAATAGGCAGAACAGGGATTCAAATCTCCATAAATCTTCTTCTGAGACTATCCTTTTCTAGCACCTTCTCTATCTCAAAGGGTATGCCCATGTGTTTTCATTCCAAGATCAGTGAGTTGGGAGTAAATGAAAAATAACTTCAAGTCTGATGATTTGGGGAAATAAGTAGCATTTCTGGTACATAAATTCCTGTGTTTAAACTCTTCATCCTCCACTGAGAACCTTGGAAAAGTCACCCAATCTATCTGGGCCTCAGTCTCCTCATCTACAAAACAGTAATAATAATTTCTAAGTCCATGAGGCCAGTATGAGGTTTAAATAAGTTAATCATCATTCTTAGAACATGAAACTTGTAGAGCATAGTAAGTAATCATTGTTATTATTTCTCCAACAAAACCTCCTAACACGCTCTACCTAACACTCTCTACCCAACCCACTAGCAACTCTGAAATTCATTGTATTGGGGTTTGACCTACATCATGTGCCACATAACATTTTGGTCAACAATGGACTGTATGTACAACAGTGGTCCTATAAGATTAGAATGGAGTGGAAAAACTACTCTCACCTAGTAACATCATAGCACAACACATGCATTACTCACATGTTTGTGGTGATGCTGATGTAAACATACCTACTGCACCTCCAGTTGTAGAAAAGCATAGCATATGCATTATGTATAGTATATAATACTTATAATGATAATAAACAATTGTTATTGGCTTATACATTTACCACACTATATCTTTCATCATTACTTTAGAGTGTACTCTTTCTACTTATAAAAAAACATTTGCTAGAAAGCGGCATGCCATGTCATGCTGGCTACAGTCTCACACAGAGTCTCCATTGCATCATTTTCTCTTGCACTTGATTTAACCTCATGTTGTTTTGTACATTAACACGCTGTGCAGCTCTGTCGCCTGGGAGCAATAGGCTAACTGCACAACCTAGCTGTGTAGGAGGCTACCACCTAGCTGCACTTCATGAGGTTCACATAATGATGAACTTGCCCAATGACAAAGTTCTCAGAATGTATCCCTGTAGTTAAGAGGCGCATGTATGGCAGAAACCTTAGAGAAGGTATTAAAGCATTAAAAGCAGATGAGTGTCACATAATCCAAGGTAATATGCATTAGAGATTAATTAAACCTGCTTCTCTTGGTGAATGCGCACTGAACTAGCGATAGTGACTTAATTTAATGCCAAAAAGTTATGCTCATTCAATTTTCATTGCACTCATTATTTAGCATTGCACCCATCATCAACAAAAAAGTACACTCTCTGTGCCTCATCTGCACTCATCTGCCATGACTAACGCCCATTCAGTTGCACATCTGTGTCAGCTGCATCCACTGAACAGTTAGCATTGCCCTGCACCTGCGTGAGAACCCAGGCCAGCACTCAGATTTCCATCGCCATCTGTCACTCTTCTACCTTCTAGCAACGTTCAAAATAGAAAGACATCAAGGCGTCTTAAGAATACTGTAAAGAATTACACTGATATGAGGTGGTATTAGAATATTTTTTTGTAAATTCTTACAGTTTTTGCTTTAGGCCATGTGACTCAAGGATTAAAGCATAGCAAAAGTATTAAAAATAATAAGTGACTCTTCAGCTGTAGGGTAAAGGTGAAGGCAACGTTTTTTAGAAAAGGAAAACATCTTTGCATTGGGTGGTGATGGTTATTATCAAATTTACAGAGCAAGGGTAAGAAATATTCTTTCATGAACCTTGCATTTGAAGTTATCTTGTACACATCTTTGTCCAAATATAGTAGCTTATTGGGGGCTTATTAATGGAATCAGACCAAGAAAATATGTCACTGCTGGTTTGTAAAATAATCACGTGCAAGGATTTGCCAGTCCTCCCTCTGAGCTAAGGGGAGGATGGCATTTTATCCTTGTCCTTCTGATGGGAAGACCCGCTCAGGCAAGTCAGATGGCTTATGTGAGAGCTGGCACTTCAGTTCATATCAGAGTCTATGAACCTCTCAAATCTATCACTACGACATTGAGTGCCATTATCTACTGGTATATTTGACGGATGGTGGAAGGAGGGTCTATGTGAGAACTTGACCCAATTATGTTAGCCCAGAACTGGCAAGAATGCAGGATTGGTAGCCATCTGGAAGCAGGCAAAGTGATGTGTGCTACAGCCACGGGGAAGCCCATGGGTATTTCACAGCTTCCTCGTGAGTCTCTTCAATGGGAGAGTGTGGTTTTTTAAACAGTGTCTCACAAACAATGGCAGGCACTTGCCCACCTGCTCCCACTCCCTGGCCTCTCTCACACCATCTCTGGTGGAGATTCCTTCCATGAAGTCCTCACTGACCCTGATCATTCCCCTGAGAAATTAGTATCTCCTGTAGCAGAATAAATCCACAAGCTTCCCAATGTGGGGGTGAGGGTGTGGTGGAAGAATTCAAATGGTGGGCCCTGCATTATTTTACCTTTTGCTTTTAAACATTTCCCTCTTTCAGCTCGTCCAGGTATTGTTGGAAGACACGGCCACCAAAAGCACCGTCAAACTCAGCCTCCCTGTGGGACAAGAGGCCCTCATCACCCTCAACGATGGACAAAAGTTTGTGATTCACATATCAGATGTACCCCAAAGCTCTGAAAATATTCATTTCAGGGAAAGCAGTGCTAATAAGTAAGACTATTTATTTGAATAGGACAGGAAGAAAACATAGATTTTCATTCTTAAAAATATATGATATGCTAAAACTTTTGTATTGATAAGAAAAAAGATTATATGTACATAATAGAGTGTAGTATTGTCTATTTTATGTTTATGTGTATGTGTATTTCAAGGAGTTGGTTTTGATGAAACATATAAACTGATTTGGAGAATAATATTGGTAGCTGTTTGCCTCTCCTTTGGGCTTTCCAAGCGTTTCTATTTGGTGACTTCGCAGAAGAGAAATCTTGTTGGGAGAACAGAAATTGATATATTGTGGGCCATTGGAAGGGCACCAGGTGCTAGGTTGGTGGGGTCAGACTGGACCTGGGTTTAGCAACCTTGGTACTTAGGTTCTGGCTAGGAAAGAATTCAGAGCCAAGATTCAAACTATAAGAGAAGATTTATTTAGAAAATCATAGAGGTGGAAGGAACAATTCTTAGAAAAAATGGGCCAAGGAAACAAGTCATAGAGGCAAAGGAAGGGCCCTAGAAGCTTGGGAGTGAAAAAGAGAATGGTAACTTGCCTATGGAGAGACGGGAGGGGAAGGTGCCAGTGTGCTCCTGGGAGGGAGAGGCGCTGGGTCCTCCGTCCTATGGGCTTTAGGGGGAGGATTTAGGGGAGGTCCCAGGGAAGATCTCAATAGAACAGTGAGCAGCTTTTTCCAGGTGTGTCCTTTCAGGGTCATGGTCTCCTCGATGGTCAGCACCAGGGCAGGGGGTCATTACCCAATGCAGCTGGGCCCAAAGTCAGCTGTGGGGTCACTTGTCTGGTTTTGTGGCTTCTCTGGGCCTGAAGCTGAAGTACAACTGAGGCCTACATGTTACCTCTAGGGAGGAAAGGTCAGGGGTCCAAACAGTAAGACCAGCGATATGCTGGGGAGGAAAGCCCACCCTGGGGATGAGGTCCCACCCTACAGCTGTCTGCTAGGCGCCTGGGGCTGTCCACCCTGATGACCTTCTGTACCTGGCCCAACATCCTTGCCCTGCTCATGTCTGTCTAACTGCCCACCACAGATACATTTCCAGAGAAAGATAAAGTTTGAAGAATGCAAACTGTTACAAGCAGTAAATGGCCAATGGTAAAATTATTTTCCTTCACCTTGGTAGTGCTCCAATTGAAATAGAATTTGTAGAAAGATCTTCTCAGGCAGTGAAGAATAAAAAAATTTGATAGCACTGTTAGACTTACTCACTGGTCCATTAACCCATCCCAACGTTCTTCGGTTCACCATCACCGCTTCCTTAAAGTGAGATACAATTTTGAATCTAATAACATCTGCAACAAATGAGGATGCCCTATTTTGAATCACTTTTTATTCCTCTCTTTGTCACAAAATCCTAAAAAATGTTGAAACTAAGAACAGACCATTATTTTTTTTTTAATTTGTAATGTTATTCTTTTTTTTTTTAATTGCTTAAAGTATTACAAAGAGTATTACATATGTCTCCTTTTTTTTTCCCCGCCCTCGACAATCCCCTGGCCTCCCCTACCCCCCCCAGAGTCTTATGCCCATTGGTTATGCTTATATGCATGCATACAAGTCCTTCGGTTGATCTCTTACCCACCCCCCCCACTCCTGCCCCCCACCCTCCCTGGCCTTCCTGCTGTAGTTTGACAGTCTAAGAACAGACCATTATTAAACCAGATCCATTTTTAAGTAACTGGTTATAACATTTAAAAGAAACTTAACAATTCATGCTTAACATGATTTCTGGTATAAATAAAAATAAGGAGAGGACACTGATCTCATATTCTATAACAAATTAAATTTCCCTAAATGCTTGGAAATTTTAAAGAAACATAAGAACCATATGTCACTAGATTCATTAAGAATGATTTGTCTTGCCCTAGCCGGTTTGGCTCAGTGGATAGAGCGTCGCCCTGCAGACTGAAGGGTCCCGGGTTCAATTCCGGCCAGACCCGGGTTGCGGGGTCGATCCCCAGTAGGGGGCGTGCAGGAGGCAGCCAATAGATGATTCTCTCTTATCATTGATGCTTCTATCTCTCTCGCCCTCTTCCTTCCTCTCTGAAATCAATAAAGAAATATTTTTTTTTAAAAAAAGAATGATTTATCTTTATGGCTTAAAAAGTAATATTTTAGGCCTTTTACCACTACATTTAATATGGTATCTCATTTCTTAAGCTATCTGGGAGTAGTTATTTGTCAAAGAATAACTCAGAGATATTCCTTTGCTCACTGTTCTGTGTCTTTGCATATCACTGGTTGCTCACAGGTAAGTAGACAGGTGGTGGACTGAGGCAAGGAACAAAGACAACAATGAGACTTACCAATTTGGGAACAGTGAAATATTTTTTGGCATATTTTGGGGTAAACTGATTACCTGAGAGCTAGCAGAGGGCACTCTACCCTTGAAAGGCCAACCAGGTTTATCAAGGAAAATTTAATTGTTTACCTGTGGGGTTAGGAGTTAGGAGAGGAGATGAGGCTGCGGAGTAACAGGAGAAGGTGGGCTTCTGGGGCCCTCGCGGGCTCCAGCTCTTTATCTGGGGGTGGTCATACAGTGTGTTCATCTTGTGAAAATGTCTCACAAAGAAAACAACATGACTTGATTGCCTTTCTGCAATGTTATGTATTTAAGGTGTATTTTTTAAAGTAGAAAGAGTTGCACACATCGTGGGGACTGTAGTGGAGGCTGCTGGTGGAAGAAGGGCTGGAAAACACACAGGTTCCAAGAGAAAGTGAGCTGGGTTGATGGGCCGCGAGGGCCAACGCGCGTTGGTGCGAGGCTGGCACTGTCACCTGTGTTTTGTTTGCCTCCCATCTCATGAGTGGAGGCGGAGGCCTGGCAAACACAGGCTCAAGCCCTAGCACTCTTTCCACCCAGGAGAAGAGAGAAGAATTCATCTTTAATAAAGTTTGACATTTTTATTTTTACACTGGGCTGGGGATTCTAATTACTAACAGAGAAGCTTTTATGATTGAAAGTAGCTGGTAGTCTTCTATTATTTAAAAATGAACATTAATGTGAATAGGAACTTCCTCTAGCCCCTCCCCCAAACTTGGATTTTTAGCCAAGAGCCATAAATAACACACAAAGCAGGTGCAAGGATTGCTTTCTGCTTGTACCATCTATCAGTTCACAGTAACGGCATTACAAATTCATCTTTAATGACTTAAAACAGCCACAGTTTACTTTATTATTTCTTATCAGCCCACGGGTTGCTTGGACAGTTCTGGTGACCTGGACTGGACTTGGTTAGCCTCGTCTGGGTTTGCTCCACCATCTGCTGCCCCTGCCAAGCTTGTTGGGGCTGGATGGTCTAGGATGGCCTCCACTAGAATGACCCGGCTCGTCCCTGTGTGACCCCCACACCCCTCCAGCAGGCTAGCCTGTGCCTGTTCCTATGGCAGAGGTGGGACCCAAGAGAGAGAGAGTGGAAACACACAAGCACGTTTTCATGCTTCCGCTTGTGACAGTGTGTTCCTGTCGCATTGGCCAAAGCAAAGTAGAGAGGGTGTGAACATAATAAATGGCATGGACACAAGGAGGTGTCAAACAACCGCAGTCACTGATTTCAATCCAACTAATCAAGTTCAACTCAATATAATGTTGCAAAATTATTTGTCGTGTATTTATTAGTTTATTGAATAGTCTTAAAGCACTGAGGATCACCAATCAACAATTGGGCAAATCCATGCCCTTTGGCAGTTTATATTCCAAGTGGGAGGCTGACACTGAGCCCATGGACAAATAAAAGCCTAATATCTTAGGTGGTAATTACTAAGTGTAATAGTAAAAAACAAAACAAAAAACAAACAAAAACACAATGAGGGAGCTAGAAAGTGAAGGTGATGCTGGCTTTAAAGCATGGTCTCTCTCACAAGGCGCAATTTGAAAAGAGATCTGAAAAAAATGAGAAGGTGGGAGAACAAATTAGAGAAGTGGAGCAGCACTACCCGGCAGCCCCATAACCACTTGATGTTAATGGCCATGACTTTGAAATGACTAAGGGATTTAAATCCCTGGTTTGCAGGAATGTGGCAAGCTCATTTATTTGAACCAATTCATCAGGTGAAAACAATTATACATCTTGGCGAAAATATATAAAATGTCTTATTAAAAGCATCAAAAAGCTGAAAAGATAGAAAAATCTCCAGCTCAAAATCTAATATAGCCAGCTAAACTAAGCACCAAGGCTACCTTTTCTGATCCACACAATTTTGGGCTTCGAGTGTGATGACTTCTCCTAATGTTAGGGCAATAGTCAAATACCACACCCATCAAGGCTGGGGGTTCTCATGGACACCCAAAGGGCTGAACATTTCAGGTAAGGGTGATCAGAAGTAAGGTGCGCCTGCCCTCCCCACCCCCCGGGAATAACGAAGTTGCTGAGCACATCAGAGTAGGAGAACTGTCACTGTCTCAGTTCCTGGCATCCACTTCTGTTACTGACAAATGACATCCTATTGTATGGGTATACCACTTTTTATTTACTTATTCATCATTTGATGGACCATTAGGTTGTTTTCACATAATGGGAAAAATGACTATTGTCATTTCCGCTTGAGTGGTGTCTATATAAACATTTGTGACAAGGTTTTGTGTGAATGTATGTTTTCTGTTCTCTATGGTATATACCCCTAGGAGTGAAGTTGATGGTTCATATGGTAACCCTATGTTTAACCTTTTCAAAAATTGCCAAACTGTTTTCCAAAGTGGCTGCACCATTTTATATTTCCATCAGGAAAAAAACTCTTGATGAACTTTAAGGGAGAGATTGACACAATATAGTCATAGTAGTAGACTTTAACACCTCACTGACATCACTGGGTAGGTCTTCCAGACAAAAGATTAACAAGGAAACAGAGGCCTTAAATACACTACATCAGATGGCTCTAACCAATATTTACAGAACATTTCACCCCAAAGCATCAAAATATACATTCCTTTCAACTGCACATAGAACATTCTCAAAGATAGACTACATGTTAGGGCAAAAATCAAGTCTATTGATATAATACCAAGCATTTTCTCAGATCAGAATGACATGAAGTTAGAAATCAACTACAATAAAAAACTCAAAAACACTCAAATACATGAAGGCTACATAGTATGTTATTAAACAATGAATGGGTTACCAATGAGATCAAGCAAGAAATTAAAAACTTCCTGGAAAC